AAAGGATGACTGAACAACTCTTTGCTTGCATTGTCCAACAAATTTGCACTGTGAAGTTTTGGAACAAACATGAAACATTATACGGGCCAGCCTCATGGCCTTAACTCCAGGATAGTCTCATGAAGTTTTAGGTCATTTTAAAGCCATATTCCTGGTATCCTCAGATGATTCAGGTACACTGCCCTGCCTGTCCCTTTGCATCTAGGATATACCTCACCTTTAGGAGGTGGCAGAATAGAGAACAATACTTGTTCAGACATCAACAATTCTAGCTATCGAGTGTTTTTTTTGGGGGTGGGATTTGACATGAGACTGTGGCTCTCTTGATATTCTTGCTCATGTGATGAAGCTTGGATGAGCAGAATACAGATCTTAACCATGGCTCCAAGGGCCTGAAATGAAGTCCCATACACATATTTCAGTACATAGCCTAAATATTGAGACATGCAAGAGACTAGAATCTGTCCTCTGGCAGGCATATTTTCACCAACTCTGAGTCAATCAAAGCTCCTGCAGATTCTGCTGTGAAAGATTATTTCTCTTAGTTTACAAATCCTGGCTGTTGTTGTCTCCTAGTAAGTTAGGTGGGGGGGGGGGAATATAGATCCTGAGTCCTTAAATATGCAGTCATTACTGCCAGATGACAGTCTGACAGGCAGAACCCTGTAATCTGTAATGCTTGATATCACTGTCAGTTTTATGTACTTGTTGTAGGCCATGTGCATGCTAAGAACCATTACTAAGAGTCAAATGCCTGGAGTGAAAGAATGATGTAGATTAGCATTATTATGCTAACACATGATGTGGAAACTCAGTAAATATGTCACAGGTCTAGGATAAGACAAAACTTTCTCTCTCCTTCAGAATGGGAAAAATATTACAAAACTTTGATGGAACTACCCCAATAACACAAGTGAATTAAGGAAGCAACTTTTGCTCACAACAGGTTCTTGTAAGAAAGAAAAACAGGGAAAGATGGCAGGGAGTTACACACGGAACTGGAATGGGTAGTCAATGACTATAAACTCTGTCCAATGCCATGAGGCTCTTTACCTGGTGCAATGAAGCTAAACTACTTCTCACTCTCTGGACTGGATCTGATATGGCTCCTGAGAATTCCATCGAATGTACTGAGGCATCATAGGAGAGAGGTGCACAGGTGGGTGGGGAGGAAAGAAGAGGAAGAAGGCTGGCATCCACAGCTGTACCTTGATGATTTTTGATATGGCACTTGGATTGCCTTGGGTGGTAGGACAGCATCTGCTATCTGAACTGGGGTTGCTGAAAGTCAGTTTGTGGTATACAGCCAAAGTACAAATGCCCAAGGAGCATCAGGGTTAGACTTTTGCACAGCCCTGACTAAGTTCACTAAGTGGTCCTGTGGCACCAAACAACAAAGCCTCAAATCATGGCCTGTATCTCTCTCAGGCAGCACAGTGCCAAAGCCACAATGCTCTACACACTGTCACCACAATGGTCACAGATCATTACTGACTAACTGCTGTCCATCCTTAACTATGTCCTTGAACTCCTCCCTGCTGTCATGTGAGTGAAGGTATAACCACATCCTCAGTTAAAAAGCATACCTGACCATTAAGTTTGGCAATTAAATCAACTCCAGCCATAAGGGTGCAGAGATGTACAACTTTCATCCAAATACTTTAAGTTTTTGGGGTTCCTTGTCTTACTCTACTTCAATTTTTCCTTTGCAGTTGGCATGAAGCTAAAATATTGGAAGGATCTCATACTGCTTTTCTACCCATTTTGCAGTGGGTGTTTGTTTTAGCAACAATATAATCATTATTGTAGCTGACACTTCCCACAATGCTTCAAGCTGAGTTGAGCTGTCCATTATTTATAGTAAAATTGATCTTGGCTAGAGCAGAAGCTGACAAAGATATCAAATTGCTCATGAAATTTCTCTCCTGTGACCAGCATCTGTATCTGCAGTTCATGTTGCACCAGTGGTGGTACCAAGGATCTCCATTTCCATTGGACAATGCAGATGAGTTTTCTTGGTGGTAACAGACAGGGTGCTGTTGTTGCTTTGCTTCTGGATCTGCTCTTCCTGGTATTCTGGTGTAGGTGGTCAAGCCTGAGATGCTGATGATGGGGAGAGATTTCTTTTCTGTTCCTCGTGTGCTCTAGAAACCTGCTTCTCATGGGACAGTGAACCTCAGTACCCTCAAAAGGGCATAGTAGCTTACCACACGAACACAGCTGGCTTGTTTAGGTGCTGTCAGACACTCCATTCCTGATAACATGGCATTAGCAGCTTAGTCCTGTAATGATCATCCCTGACAGAGGGGAAGGGGCTGTTTGCTCAGAGAGAGACAGTATAAATGATGGAGAAGGAACAAACTTCCTCCAAGTGCAGTACTCCCATACGGTGCATTGAAAACTGAGGTTTGCACTGGTATTTTGACACCAATGACTATCTCCTCCAGAGGTGCCAACTTCACATTGAACTCAGAGGTGTGACAACAGAGACCGAGTTTGAACTGAAGGGCACTGTGCATTTCAGACTAGGTATTTGCAACTTCCCTCAACAGAAAATATATCTGCATGGCCCACCACAGGATACAAAGGGCATACAGGACCCAGAGGTTTCATGTTAGTCATGTTAAACATTTTTCAGGTGTGGTGTGTGGGGCATGTGTTTAATTGTCAGCACTAAATCCAAACAGGCCAATACAGATACTAGCAGTCACGCGGCCAGAGGGCTTGAGAAGCTGAATGTGTAGAAAGTTTCAGTAGGAATTTACTGGGTCAGACACTGAGTAGGTTCAGTTCTGCCTCTTCCCTGTGGTAAGAGAGAAGCAAGGACAGATGGCAAGCATCCTGTCTTTTATGCACCCATAGAGGAGCACAGGGCACACGTGTGGACCAGACAGATGTGGCTATTAAGAAAAGCCCTCTGGTCTCACATACATGAGATGCATGAACTTTTACTGAAGGATCCACACTGACACATACTAGAAGAAGAAATGCACGTTATCCTAATGTACCAACAGCAGCAGGAAATTTGGAGTTGTAATAAAAAAAAAAAAAAAAAAGATCATCCTTAAAACAGATGATGACTTACTGGACAAATAAAACAGATCAGTTGCTCATTCTAACCCACTTATAATCTGGCTCAAGCAATACAATTGTGAGAAGTAAAACAGAGTCTGTAAAAGGCTTAAGACAGGTATGCTCTGTTCTACCTGACAGTCCCCTGGTGTTTTCCTGGCAGACCAACCCTTCCTTGCATAGCTCATTCAAAATCCTGGAACATTTATGAACTCCATTCAGTGCAATAAGAGATCTGGATGGTTTTGTGCTCAGCCCTTGAACTGCAAAGCCTCCTAACAATACAGAAAGAAGTACAGCATCTCATATACATGCCTCTGAACTTAAGGTCTCAGAAACAGTTGTATCCTACTTGGCAAGTCTAATAAAAATGGCAGCAAAGCCAGTTTCAGTATGTGTTTTATGGTAGTACCTACAGGACTAAGTCTGGTCGTCCAAGGACCCATTATGTTGGTCCTATTTTAAAAGCTTTCCAAAGTGAGCGAACAAGCCCACAGAATAGTACAGAAGTGACTTTAAAGTTACCAATCTGAAATAGATGCGAGTGGTAATTACCTTTTCTGCTTGGAGACCCACCTCTTACTTCTGAGGAACTGACACCAATGCTGGTCGTTTCAGATCTTTCCAGCTTCAAGTAAAAGGAAACAACATATAAAAGTAAAGTTAATTTTCACACACATTCACACACACCAGGGAAGTCAAAATATGCTCTTCTTGCTTCCCCCACCCCTATATTTAAAGTGTATTCTAGCCTAAGGTTGCTTCACAAAAATAAGTATGTGAAATCTGCTAGTGAAGTTCACCTCCCATCTTCTTCTTCAGGCTCTCCACCTTCTCTTTTTTCCGGGAGGATGAACAAGAAGGAAAAAGTTTTGTGGGCAAGACCAAAGAATAAATTAAAATGGAAGATTAGCAAATTCATCTTGAATTGATATATTAAAAACATGTTTAAAAATTACTCTTTTTTTAACAAATCCTACCTCAATATACATATTTCTTTGAAAATGTACAGCTTATTACAATACAAATATTTTGTGAATTTGCTTTATTCTTTGGCAAACAGTCTAATGGGATGCATTGCTAATACTGTACAATTCCTTTCATAGAGAATACTGTAATATTCCCACCAGAGAAAGAGGTGTAAAGTGATTTAGAAACTCATTAATACACCTCTCTTTTCTGGTACCATTTTCTTCCCCCCCCTTCATACTTTGTATCATTTATTCAATTGAAGAGACATGTGGGCAGCTTTCAGTTTGACTAGTTCTAGAATCCTACTTTACCACCAGGGTAAACAACCCTCATCTAGCAAGAAGTATGTGGAATTTGTAATGTTCCTATAGCATTTATGACCTTTTCACATCTGGAAGACTGAACTGTGACTAGCACAGTGATCCTAGTTGGGAAAGTCATTAATGATACAAACCATCCACTGGATGATCAGTTCCTTGTGGCATCTAAGCTTTCCTTATAGGTTTCCCAGTAAAGTGATGACATGGTCTTCTCTGCTGAATTCAGGGGCCAAGACAAGATTACAAACAGAGACTAGGACAAGCTAAGCTAAAGAGTATCTAGCACTACCTGCAGTGTTTTAAGCTAAGCGCTCACAGCAGGTTTAATTAAGATTTCTTTAAATTAAGACTAAATTAATTAAAATAAATTAAGATTTATTTAAATTAAAATAAAAGAGATACTTGGCCCAATGCCACCATTTTGAAAAACAGCGGTGAAGTTCCTACAGAAGTATCCAAGCTCGTATTCCTTACAATGGAAGCACATGCAGATATAACAGTGACATTTTAACTAAGGCTGTACAAAGCTTCGGTAACTGATTCGATTGGGAGGAGATTCAGCGCCAAATTTCTGAACCCAAATCAAATTGGGAGACTCATTAAAAGGTCTGAACCAAAATCAGAAGCTTCCAAATCTATTCAGAGAGATTCGGTGCCGATTCAGCCATAAAACAAACAGGCAACAGTTCTTGACCACGCTGGACACAGCTGCCTCCAGCTGGTAAGTCTGCTGTGGTGGGCAGAGGGGGAAGGGAAGAGCATGGGGGGAGGGACAGATCAACGCCCCCACAGTGAGGGAGGGATTGGTGGGACAAGCCTCCCAACTGGGGCTGGGGGGCCGTGGGACTTGGGGAGGGGGGCTCCCATCACTGTGCACAGCCAGTCCTGGAGGGCATGGGAGCAGGCGGCTGCCCCTGGATCTGCACGGGGCAGGCTGGGACAGGCTGCACGCTGGCGGGCTGAGCTCCGTGGGGTGGGAGGAGCCAGGGCTGTGCTCTGGCCCGCTAGCCCCAGCTGCAGCCTGGAGTGCAGGACTCCTGCCTATTTAGTCTATGCCTGAACCTGAATCTGCGGCGACTCTTTGAATCGGAATCCGAAATTGGCTGAATTGAATCAGGACAGTGACTCAAATCACCAAATCAAGTCACTGTCCTTCTGAATTCGCTGAATCTCAATCGAATACTTGCCACTTCACACAGGCCTGATTTTAACCACCAGTGCCTACTTCCAAGCAGTCATGCCCTCTCTTTCCTATTAAAATAGTTAAAAGTTGTGTCTGCCTATAGCCAAAAGCAGTCAAGTTTCCCAGCTTTTAAAAGAGCCTTATCAATTTTCTAGGCTTAAGGTGCTCTGAGAAACAAGGTAATGAGCCTCAGTGAAGTCCAAAAAAAATTAGTGCAGACTGTTTCTATAGTTACTGAGGATTGTTTACAATGAATTTAGGTAAGTGTATGGCTTTTTTTTCTTTCAGTTCCCAGTTCCTATTCCTATTTTAAGGCAACAAACATATACCATGTTTTGGACCTGTACAGTCTGCTAGATATTACAGAATTAGTAGAGACATAACAAAAGGCAAATAAAGACTTCTATAACTGCTAGCAGCATGATAATGAGTACTAGGCAGTTACATGCATAGCGTACAACCTGCTTCTGGGTAAGTAACAGATAGCTGCTCAGTTCCAGTTCACCTATCTCTGACACACTTTCACAACTACACTGCTATTCTCAACCTTTGACACAAATGAGGCATAAAAAAGGAATGGAGGACAGATGAATTCTAAATGAATGAATGAATGAATGAATGAATATATGAACAATATTCAGAAAGAACAGTATCTGAGAGCAGGGAAGAAGAGACACCCTCCACCCCCATTCCCTCTGAAAGGCTCACAATGTTCAGAAAGAATCAGTTATGGTGTCTATAAATATACTTAACGTTAGCTAAAACCCACAAAACATTTGCGATTAAATTTTTCCTGCAAAAATATTTCTTTAAATACAGGATTTTTAGTTATCCTTTAGCTGAATACTTTAATAGAATCACAACTTCTCACCCCTGAAAAGGCTACACAAAACTGTCCATGTGTAAACACAGGCTTAGGAATATCAATACATATTTTGTCTAAAGTCTGACCTTGAGACTTGTTCAGTCACAGAATGAGAGGGCCCTTGTACACATGATTAAATTGCCCCTTTTAGTGGTTTAACTGCCCTTTTTAATTATTTAATTGCATACCAATGTATGCGTTCAGAGGCACGTTACGATTAAATTTCGTAACAGTGTACATGTTCGGCAGCCTATTTTGATGTAAATGACTTCTTTACGTAGCAAACTAAAACACATGCCATGTAGTTTAGTTTGCTATGTAACAAATTACAGCAATATTCTGCAGGTGTACAAAGGCCCTACCAGGAGAAGGTGGCGGGATGGTGCACAGGGTGCTGGAAGCCCAGGCATGCTTAGGGAAGCTTGGGCTTGGTGGGCTTCCAGTGCCCCGTGCACCATCCTTACTGCCTTGTCTGGCTGCCAGCACACCCAGCTGCCCTCCTGCAGCAGCCAGCCCATTCCTGGGAGGTCCCAGTTGTCAGGGATGGTATACAGGGCACTGGAAACCCGCCAAGCCGGAGCTCCCCTCAGCATGCCTGGGTTTCCTGCACCCTGTGCACTGTTGGATCAAACGGGTGCTGTCTGCAACCTGGGGCTGCGCCCGCACAGCTACCACCCAACCCAAGCAGCCCTGGGGGTACACCACTACCACAGGGGGAAGCACCAGGCCCCCCTGCAGCTCAGGGTCTGCATGACCCAGTGGCAGGTTACATGGACAGGCTCTGCTGGGGGGAGGAGGGGTGGAAGTCAGGAGAAGCAAGGGACCTGATCTATCCCCCCTCTCTCCCCGTCCCGCCACCCCGCCACCGCCCAGAGCCTGCCTGCATCTCCCACAGCTGCACTCTGATTGTTTCAGTAAGCATTGCGATTGGCTGCTGAGACAACCAACGTACTCTGGACAGACAGAATAAGCCTGTTATTATTATAGATTGTTTAACTACCAAAAAGTATCACATTTTTCAGCCTGCCTCCTACAGAAACAGGACTGAAATGAAAGACACTGAATCAAGAGCTTACACCAATTTCTGAACCCACAAAAAGCAAAATTTAGCTTTCATAAATTAATGGCTAGCAACATAAGAGCCAAAATACATCTGACAATCTTAACAATAAAAGAAATATTTCCTGAAGGAAATCACTAAACAGAAAGTACAGTACAAACAAAAAAGTAACATGCTATGACAACAAATGGTTTAGAAGTGCTCATACACAGAACTATTTGTATAGCCTACCATTGTCTCTTTGACTTGGTCTGCAGCACTTCTTAGTATGGCTGAAGTTTCTGTATCTGCTGGATTTATGGGTATACAGGGTACAGTTGTACAACTAGCCAATACAGGGTACAGTGGCATTTCAGCAGGGACAACTGACACGAATTGGTCTTTAGCAGTATTAACTTGCTGGCAGGTGTCTGAAACATTATAACCCGGTTCTCTTAAATCCAGTATGAGAGTGGGAATTTGGTCTTCAATAAAAGGTGGTAGGTTAACGAACTCACTGTCAGCTTGTTCTAACGGTACAGAACTGTCTGGTGTCCCTGCTGATGCAGAAGTTGGAACATACTCTTGGTAAAGTAAATTACGTAATTTCTCATCCAGACTTTTTATTGTGTTGTCAACAAAATCAACCCTGGGTGGCCCCTCTCCATCCGACTCTACTGTACAGGGCTGCTGTAGCAAGTTGATGCCAACCCCAGTGCAGGCGACTGGCTGGGATTGTGTCAGCATTACATGTTGCTGGGACATAGCTCCTGAGACTTGGGTTGGACTCTGAAGCTGAGATCCTGTCAGACTTAGAGAATCAGAAACAATAGCTACTGGGAGCATCTGGCTCACAAAGGAATGCTGCACCACACTGGGCTGACTGGCCTCTGACAAATGGGGGATTTGTGGTACAGGCTGACTTTCTAAAATTCCCACATCAGAGATAACAGGAAGTGGAAAGAGTTCTGCCGCCTGGGCAGGGGCTGTCTGAGACGATTTGGGTGGCCCAACAGTGCAACATGAAATCTCCACATCAGGAATACAAGTGTCTTCATCTTTCAGCTGTAGTGTTTGTTGGGAGGATAATGGAACAAGCTGAATGTCAGCAGGCTCTTCTAGTGAAGCTGCAGTATGGGCAGGAGTATTGGGCTGACTGGGTATCATTGGCTGTAGTGAAGGATATTCTTGTTGACCTGTATTAGCAGCAACCTGCTCTAGCATATATGGCACAGTCCCTGGTAATGTCGCGGCTGAAATTTCTGCCTGGGTCTGTAAAGCTGCTGAAGACACTGCAGTAGGAACTTGTGCCAAAGAAACAGGTGTTGCACTGGGACTGTCGCACAAACTTGTTCGATGAGAAAGCTGCTGATAAGCTAAGATACTTGGTTTATCTGTCACTGTAGAGTTCACTGGGTGATCGTCAGCCTGTTCTGCATCTGTAAGGAAGTAAAACCAGCAATTTACCCTTCTATAGACAATATTGTAATTGTGCTGTATAGAGTTACTACAAAACACTCTTAGGCTTAATTACAGCAGCTAAATCACTCAACATTTTCTATCAAAATGACAATTAATCCAATATTCTAATAATAAACTGAAGCTGCAGACTAAACAAAAACAGTTTTGCAAAAGGATGAGTCCTCTGAAAACATCTATGACTAGAACTTCAACTTAGTCTTAACCAGAGTTTAAATACTGGGACTTTTCTGTATAGTATAAGAATGCTTATATTTTGGTTTATGTTCAAGAAAAATACATAAGCCTACAAAAAGTCCTTTCAACAGGATGTAATGGATATCTAGATGCATTTTAAATGGAAACTGTTTTGTACTTCATGGACCATTAACAGTAATAATAGACAGTTTATAAACTACATTTCAGCAGTCTTAAAGTGAGATTAACAACAAGTTACATGTCCTATAAGGCTCCTTAAACTGCAAATTATACATTAGGGAATTCAGATAAACTTTTTGCTTTTAAAACAAAGTGCTTAAAATTTGAATTGTATAAATATGCACATCTTGGTGCAAAGTTCTTAACCCCAAAGGATCCGTTAGTAACTTTTCATTCCTACCCAAAATACAAAGTTGTTTTGTAGTTGAACAAGAGAGGTAAATGTAGTCCTCAGCCAAGCAGACATACCCTGCAGTGCTTCCCCCCTCCCCCTTTCCTAGCTCCCCTGGCTGTAGCTTTCCGAGATAGTGATGGTGATGAAGATCAAACCTTAGAGAAACAACATTTTTTGCAGATTTACTATATTTCACTGATTTATTTACAGATTTTAGAAGAAATGTATTGCAGTCATTTATCTGACCCAATTATCAAGTAGAACACAAGCCTTGGTTAACGACTGAAAAATCAAGCCACAGTATTTCCATTTTGAAATTAATGCATCCAATTACCACAAAACAAGACTGGTGGATCACAGCAGCCTGGGGTGCAAGGAAGTCAAAGAAGTACCAACCACTGCTTGCAACTTTGACATCCTTTACTGGCCAGCATGTAGAGTAACATTAATAGAAGATATACTTCACCCTCTTCCTACCAATATTCCAGCTAATATAAAATAACAACAGTAAAAGCAGGAGAGAGGAAACAACAGTCTTCGGGAAAACAAGGCAGACTGAAATACTGCATACCCTGGAGAAACAGAAGCTTTAAAAATTCATAATTACCTGGACCTTCAGGCTGTTGTGTGCTCTGAGGAACTGGTGGAGAGAACTCTGGTACTTCAGCAGTGGGATTTTCCACAACCGGACATATAATAAACCATCTTTTCCCAGTGTGTAAAACTAGTCATGAAGAGAAAAATAAAGGATAAACATTGGTGTGTAGAAGCTACAAAGTTCATTCACTTTCACCTATCTAAACTGCATGTCAAAAGCTACTCAATCCCCTATGTTTTAAGGGAAAAATTGGGTTTCTACCAGAGTAATGAAGATCAAAAATAATGGATTCTGTTGGACTCAGCATTTTACCCTCATTTTATACACAACCCCTGCCCCCCCAAACGAAATGTTGTTAACTGTTTACAAATTGACATCCAAAAGTGATATTTTAAAACTGACTAGAAAATATTCAATATTTAAGAGCGGCCAAGCACAAAACCTACATTTAGGAGGCACACCATTTTCCCGCACTTGCCAAAACCATGCTATTAGCTCCCAGACATGTATAACCCTCCCCACACCTTCAGTTCAGAGAACAGAAAGGCACACAACACATGGTGACATGGCGTTTGGAATAAAGCTTCCTTTGGTAGAGGCTATTTGTGATAGCAGAGTGAATGAAAGCCAAATGCTGACATTTTGTTTCTGTGAAAGTGATGAAATAGATATGTATGCAGAAGGACATGGCTTTCCGTTGCATTCCTTCTCAATCACTCCTATTGGGGCGGGGGGGCGGGGGCAGGCACCATTGGTTAATCAGTGAAATTCACACCTTTCCTGGATACCCATATATTGGTTTCACCTAACAGTTTGGAATTTAAAGGCTGTTGATGGAAACCATGGCTTCTATTAACACCTACATTTTCTAGGCACATTCCCAGTCACCTGCAAATGGTGCATGTTTTCTTGAGATTATTAAACTTCTGGACTGTCTGATATTATATAAGTCACTGTCTTAACAGTTCAAGATTAAATTTGTACTTAAAGGCACTTTTACCATTCTGTTGATACACAGGTGTCTTCACTTGATACTGCCGTTTTTCCTATTAAAAAAAGAATGAATAAACTGGTCATAGACATGGATTAATGCAGGAACATTTTTCTAAGGATACATTGTGTTACAGATGTTAACCAAATAAAAGCAAAATGATCTTTTTCAACTAAGACCCCTTTTACAGAAAAAAGTGTATAAACCTCATTCAAAAGACTGTAATTAGATGTTAAAAAAAAACTGGATTCAACAACTTTAAGGAACATTGTTTACACCTCATCCATTTCCAATCTGTCAGCATCCTGCTGGGGACTTGTTCCCTGATCAGAACTTCGTTCTCCTTCTGTATCTTCACTAAGCATATCTTCTGCTTTATCAATGATATCTTTCATCTGTTCAATGAATGTTTCTTTTTCAGTCTGCAAAATGAATTCATTCTCTACCTGTAAGAACACATTAAAGATAAATGCTGTAATGACAATGTATTTGTTAATATTCTGTCTATGATCTCAGCTAACTGGAAGTTTATACCTGTTGACATAAACACCATTCACCATTTATCATGGTAACTAGAATGCAAAAAGAGGACATTCTTATCTGGTTTCTGCTCAACAAGAATTCATCCCACCACAAAAAAATGAGCAGTTCTATAAGTCTAGAAGCCTTGATTCAAAGACTTTTAGCTTCTCATCCCAAAATAAACCCTTTGCTGAAACAGACAAAAACCTCAAACTCCTTAGCTATTAAACACAGAGCCTCACTGTTAGGATGCTTGAGCCCCACAGCTTCCACTGATTTCATCTAGAATCATGACAGCTCACAATCCCTGTGAAAAATTAAGTCCATTGTGCCTACAATCCAAAATAGTATTAGATCATATCACATCATCAGTGGCATTACAAAAACAATGCTTCCCTGGTCCTCAGCATGGAAGTGGAAGGGTTGCGGCTGAATCAGCAGGAAAGAAGGTCTGTACCCTCCTCTTCTGCCCCCTCATTCCATCCCCACAGGCAGGGACTTTGTGACTTGTATTTGGTTTCCATATTGTACGCCCTCCTTCCTACCTGAGGTACTATCCTGTGCCAAGAAGAGAAGTTCCTCCTCATTCCCCACTTTCACATTAGGGTAAACTTAGGTTTTTGTTGCTTTTTTTTTTTTTTTGGTGGGGGTGGGAGGAAAGGAGGGGTTGGCTTTTATGTAGGCTTCATACTAGATATCTTTATAGGACTGAAAAGGGATTTTTTTTTTTCCCTGGTAGACTGATCTGGGAAGGGGAATGAGTTTTTTGCCTTCCTCAGAGACCTGGTGAGTAGTTTAAGCCGTAAAATTCATTTAGTCACAAACTGGCAAGCACCTAGTATAGACAAGTGTTCAATATCACTGAACGCCTGATAAACCAGGACTCAGAGTAGGATAGAAGGCATTGCTTGCAGAAGGCAGGGAACAGGGCTGGTACCTTTATGTGATGAGAATCTGGTGTGATCCTACAAAGGGTGCTGGGACCAAGGCAACAGTTTTGGATGCTGGTGATGACAGCATTCTTCCAGATAGAAAAGATTAAAAAACGATTTGCAGCAGACAAGTTATTGCTAGACAACTCCCAGATGTGTTAATACATCTGTGAATTAGTTAAATTATATTTCTGGTTTCTTACCTGCCAACAGCGTCCACAACGGTTACAATTGCTCTTTACCTTTCACCTTTTAAATCAGAATTGGCAGCACACTGTTTTCTGATGCTTAATGTCACCAGGCTACCTATTTGGGGTGCAATTTCATATCAAGTATCTTTTTATCATGGCAGAAAGGAGGCAGAGAGAGAAGACATATTTGACAAGGCATTTTAGATACAATGCGAGAGTTAGAACTGGCTTGGCAAAGAGATGGGACAAGCAACTGGGATGCTACTGACACTGTGCAAGGAGTGTGGGAGGGAGATTTGGCCAGGGAGCTAGTAGGAACAGGAAACATGGACAGACAAATGGATGGATGGTGGGGTAATTGGAGTGCTGAGATTAATACTTGCTAAATAAGGAGACCAAGACTGTTCTTTATATGCCCAGTTGGGAAGGTGGAAAAATAGGGACCAGGATGGGCTGAGTGAGAATGGAACAGGGACAAGGAATAAGAAGTGGGGAAAACATGGCTAGAACAAAGACAGGATAAAGGGGATGTGTTGCACATCAGTTGGGGAAGAAAAATCAGTGCTCACTTGAGCTCACTATTCCAGAACCTGGAAAGAAACCCCAAATTTCTGAGTTTCATATTCCTTTGCCATGTGCAAATATGTGCAAAACACCTGCAAATGTGTTCCAATGCCAATCCCCACAGCATCAGTACTTTGTCATCCTGTCAGTTAATGTCAGCTCAAAAGGCAGGGTTGTCTGGTGGAACTAAATAATTCAAGTCCACTGATGATACATGTAAGCATCATTATGATGCTATGTGATGGATATATATATATATTTTTTTTTGCAGATTGCTTTTTGAAAACTTATGAAATTAGAATCAAAATGGGACATATAAAGTTGTGAAGTCAAGCTCTTAGAATTTAAGAAATGCCAGAATTAAAATGGGTGTAACCTTAATTTGGCCCCCAGTTCTAACACTGGAGTAGCTCACTTGGGAACCTCAATTTTATATCCGATGTATTTTTTTGCAGTATTAACAAATCTGGACAACTCAACATTTTAAGAAACTTATAAAAACTTCAGCACAAATAAGTCCATACCATGTAAGTAGCAATTTCTTCTGGTGCATCACCATCTAAATCAAACTTAAAAGTCACCATTTTATGATTGTGTGTTTCAAGCTGACATTCTACCATCTTATCCCCTGTGTTGCAAACCTATATAAAAAAAAAAAAAGAGTAACATTAGAATTATTCCTGGCATAACAAAAACAGAGCTTCAGTTTAAAACAAATATGTTGTACTCGCATTGAGAATGGTCAGTTTGGGTTTGCTGGACTTTTCCTGGCGTGAACGAGCACGTGTAGATTTCTTATGCTTCTTTGAAGGTTTTCCTTCTAGTTTTCCACTTCCAGTCACTCCTTCAAAGCTATCGCTCATCTCTCTACCTGAAGCAATGTCAGGAACCATGTAGCTTTAAAAAAAGGAAGAGAAAAAACCCACAGAAGATGGGGATGTGGAAAGAGAAGAGAAAGAAATACCATGACTACAAAAAAATAGCATGCCTCTTTTGTACATGAAAACAGCATCTATGTCCCTGTAATAGAATTACAGTACTCATACTTTTGGTTTGGCCTTTGCCTTGGTTATAACGATGAAGAGGGACCTTATTTACTACTGAGGTTGCTATCTTTAATGTAGTGAAAAACAGCCACTCAGAAATAAGTCATTATATTCATGCATAAATGGCATGCCCTTTTTCTTCAGGAATCCTTAAAGCTGTCTTTTGAACTGCAAGGATCTCCATTTTCCAAACTTCTATTTTCAGACCATCCACCAGGTGCTATACTCCCTGGGGGAAAAAAATCCATCTAGAACATCCACAAGAGACTGTCACCTTGTATCCATCAGAGGCAGAGATAGCATCATACACAAGAGAGTGACACTATTAGCAGCATTCACCAAGATACTTGGGCTGTATGGTGTTCAAATAGGCAAAAGGGGTGTCATGAATGCAAATCAGCCGAGCTGACTAGTGGTCCAGCTACTAACAATAAGTTAGTGATTCCTTTTATTTTTAGATGCAAGAGATGATATTTAATCTTACTGGCATGTAAGGTATACTGAAATAATCAGTCTTTTAATCACTGGGAAAAATACAGTAATTGCTCTGTGCATGGTTAGCTGCCTACTGCCTTGATGACATACTCTGCAATATACAATTTCTGCAGGCCATTTTACTGCAAGGTACTTATTTTCCACTTTATGAAGGGGCCACACAACGCATGCTAATTTGAGTGATGTGCATCCTGAGAAGAGAAGTCTCAGGATATTCTTATGGGGTGTGTTCTGACATAGGTTGCTCTTAATGTTACTACAGCTAAGAAGGTAAATTTCATATAACACAGCAAAATAGCTAAATAATTATTCAAGACATTCACCACTAAATGGTTTGCATCCTTTCTTACAGAAGACTATACAGTAGCATATTCACTAAGCTTGAGTGAACTCATTTTGCCTCATTTAATCACACTAAGGAATTAAAGGCTGGAAAGTGACTGTAAACTTTAAAGTGTATATTCTGTTTTGAAATTTCATAGAATATTATATTTCATGAAAAAATGGATGTGATCAGAAAAGTGTCACACCTCCCCTCCCTCTATAGGCTAGTGACTGAAAGAGTTAAGCACTCTATGGCCGTGTGTAGATGAAATGATGGGCATGTGTGCACGACACTTTAAAGTGGGCTAAATGCTTTTGCAAATTCAGCAGTGTAATGCACCTTAAATGACTTGGGGCACAGCAAACTAAAACTCCTCCTCAAAGCTTTAGTTTGCTGCCCTACCAGCCATGGAGCAAAGCACAGGGCTCTGTGCATCTCAGGGGCTCCGCAGGAAGCCCTGCAGGCAGGCAGCCTGGCAGTAGCCGAGGAAGGCAGGCTCCACCCAAGAGAGGGAAAGAAAAAAAAAAAGCAGTGAGCCTGATCTCTCCCCCCACTGAGCCTGCCTACCTGCACGAGCTGTGCAGGGGCCTGGTGCTTCCTTCTGTGGCCACGGTAGCTCCTGGGACTGCCCAAGCCAGGTGCCTGCAGGTGGGTGGCACCAGGGGAGGGGGCAGCTGCACAGGAAAGCACCAGCCCCTGCCCCCCCACCAGCAGCTCGCCCTCCCCTACACACTGCTGGAGAGGCAGGTAAGTCAGGTGTGTGCACAACATGGGGGTTTAAAGAGCCCTAAATTGAAGCAGTGTTTTTAAAAACCCACCACTTCAATTTAGGGCACCTGTTTCATCTACACACACCCTATATTTCTGACAAGAAGGTAAGGGTAAATCGTCTCCTTTTCCTTTTCCCCAGGACTTGAGATTTTTCAAATTCCTCACAAGGTAGGTATTACTTTAAGGCTCCGAGACCATCTACTTTGTCAGCTTGGCTTCTTTGGTGAAGCAGAAGTGGGGACAGAAGAAAATATTCTATTCTTAATATGCAGATTATGCTTCACCTGACCTAGAAGGTATACATATATTTTTCAGCTGGAAAAAAAATAGAGAGGAAGTCACAGACAAATTTCAGACGTATAAACTTGCAGCTTACAAACCCAAAAAGAGGGCTAAAGAAAATTATAATTCCATATTTTCTCACAGATATTGGTCCTCTTCCCCAAAAACCAGCTGCTGGAAATCAGGGCATGCTTTACAAGTGAGGAAGTATTGTAACAGTAATTTTTGAAAGTTAAGCTTCTGCCTGGTGAAAGTAAAAGTAACTCCATGTGATCCGGAGAGCAAAACAATGGGTAGGCTTGGCAGTTGGCTGCTAGTCTGTTACTTACTACATGGAAAACTTTTTGAAAGGCAGAAGCGGGGGGAAGAGGGGTTGCATCTCTTATACCAGGGAATGCTGTATGCAAGAAGATACATAGGTGGTACACTTCTTACTGACCACCTGTTATGTTATGTTCATGCCTCAGGCCTCCAACCTACGCTGGGGTTTCACCATGCTCAGCATTCTAAAAGCAGCTGGCCACATCTACTACACATTAACCAATACAAAATTTACCAGTGTCATTAAGCAGTACAGCACACACCTGTGGGTGGATGATGTTTGTCAGTATGGAGGTGCTTGATATTGTTTAAGCCATACAGGTATAAAACACCTTTATGCCCATATAACACTATCTATGCTAAGGATTTTACAACTAACTATTCTGGTAGAAGAGTTACACAGGTAACAACAACAACAACAACAAAAAAACCAAAAAAGAGAGAACTGGGTGTAGAGCAAGTTTAGGATAGTCTTCCTCTAAAGACCTGACAAAATAGACCAACCAAAAGAACATATGAAACTTGTCACTTCCCTCCATTTTAGTTTTCCAGTACCTAGCCCCTAGTTCTTCCATTCTACCCATTTTGTATAGCCTGGCTCTCCTAACCCACCCATACCACAGTCCTAAACAGGAAGAAAAAGCCTCCTGAAATAAAACATGCTCACATGGAGTGATTTTAAATATACCTTTCACAGCTCTGGGATAGTGTTTGCTGTTTATCCTGCACTGCATCCTAAAATATAAGAAGAGAAAATTTAAGGATAAAATCTATGAAAATGGAATACATTATGTTTGCATCTGAAGAAACAGAACATTATTAAGAAAGTTTTCTGAGAGAGCATTTCAAGAGACATTTTCCAAAAATAATATTTTAACAACATATTACTGAGTAACTCATTCTCTGAACTTGGCAAGTCTCTAAATTGTCTTTTTTCTACTTAATGTTGCTTTTATCCCCAGCATTTATTTTGGAGCACAAGCCAACATAGCTTTTGTTTGCACACAAATATCAATACACATACATCCACTCTTGGAACAGTTTGCTAATTAGTTCATTCGCCCACTGCTTGCCCTATAGCAGAAGAGCAGAAAGCACAGTAGGTCCTACATTAATAAGCCGTTAATGAATATCTCATAGTGAGAGAGTAACTTTAGTACATTTCAAATTCATGTCATTACCTACCTGATATTTTTTAAACACAGACCCAAAATTTGCCCTCTTTGTATTACTTTCCACTTCATTCTATAGTAAAACACATCCTATTATATTTAATGTTTAGTATTTTAATTATATTTTTATTATTGAAAGATGCATTATTAATTTGGAATAAAGGAGAAAAGCAACATTTCCATACTAGGCCTCCTAACACCTTTCACCTTCTCTACAAAGAAAACATTTTCAAAAAGAAAGCGTCTCCAACTGCTGTTGTCAGTGATTTACTTCCACCACTAGTAGTGCTCATATAAACATCTGAGTTCTATCCACCTTTGAGTACAGACCTGTTCTGACAGCTAGGCAAGATGATGCTTGAAGTGCCAACAGCTACTGGACCTGTCTGCCCTGGCACTCCAACCAGTGGAGATAACTGGTGATAGCAACAGCAAAACAGGCGAGTTCATCACAATTGCTGACTAATGAAAAACACAGTTTGCACAGCACAGCTGAAACTAGTTAGCCTTCAGATGTTAACAGATTCATGTTGGTTATTTCTCTGACTAAGAGGTCATTCCAAACTGCACTGCACCATCAACTGAGTCACAAAATTAATGAATAAGAACATATATATAACATCTAGATTTTTATTAAGGCACTTGGATCAAGTGTCTTACAAAAATCTTACTTGCTTGATCAATTCAAAATTACCTTGAATATGGGCACTGTCACATGTACTCAAACAAAATAGAAAGATAGCTGGAAGCATTATGGCAAAGTGGAAATGAAATGAATTGTTTTGAATTATAGTATGTATGGCATGAAACCCACTGGAGAATGTCACACCTAAGAAAAATATTAGCAAAAGTACTTAGCAGTGGCTGAGATCAACCCATTTACAACAGGAGTCAATCAATTTGACAGCTACATGGATCTACATTTGCTAATATCAGACAAGAGTTGTTTCAAACTTAGCTGAAGATTTGTAGAATAAATGGATAAGAATGATCAACTAAGCCCAACAAAACTGCCCTGTATGCAGCGATGCAAGTATGTGATATGGGAGGTTTGGTTTTGGACAGGCTATTTAATCAAGTGTTTGTAAAGGGTGGGCAAAGTTCAAGTAAATCTGGGCCCTATTATGGTCCTCAAATGGGTATTAAAGTAGCAAATCCCAAGAACCAGTAGTGTTGGGATATGGCCAGGGCAAAGTGGAAGCGGCGACTTCCTGTTTGTGATTGTGAACATATGGCGGCCAGCAGCCGCCACCTTTTTTTTGCACTCTCCCCCTGCTGTGTCAGCACATGGGGCAGCTGCATCTATTGCACCCCTGCCCCTAGGTACACTATTGCCAATGCAAACCTTTCCCACCAAACCGCTCATCTATATCACTTGGGGCAGGGAGGACCAAGGGATCTTCAGTGAATTGATACTATAAAAGTAAGCATCAAAATGGGGAAAATTTATTTAGAATTGTTTTATGTGGATGGAAATATAGGTTCCCAGGGACTCCTGATGTTTCAGTGGGTAGTAGCTAGCAGGCTGCATTTCAGTCAGCGTACAGCAAACTGTACTCCACAACATGCTGCACTGCAGTAACACAATATACTCTTTTTTCAAGGAACCTTCTGCCTGAGACCGCAGGTTTAGTAACCCTGTCTGTACCAGCTCTTTGGCACATGGGGAACAGGAATCAAAATGGGCAGAAGGAAAAACACTATATAAGGATGGAAAGAACAGGTGTTAGGTATAACTGGGGTTTTTGCAGGCAAAGTTCCATGCACTACCTATATTTGAGCTACAAAACTCATGTAAAACATTGGGCTGCGGGATATACCCCCAGCCTACATAGCATGACATGCATGCACCTCAAAGCCTTTTTGGTGAAGAGAAAAAAATTCCAAAAAGGAAGTAGAGTCCTATGGGGTGTTTCAAAGCTTGGCTTTAAATCCAGTTTTACTCAGCATCTTCATTGATGATCTGGAAGAAGACATTATCTGTACCAGATTGGGAAGAAGCTACAAATATCACTGAATACAGACATACAAAATAGGGGCTATAAGTCTGATAAGATGAAAGCTATTGCTTCTGAAGAAGAGATACTCCATTGAAGGAAGAACCCTGGAAAGCAATAGTGTTGAAGGGGATTTCAGGTTAGAAGTGGATAGCAAGTTAGATGCAGGTTTGCAATCAGATATGAGAGCCAAAAGGCCAACATAAAATTGCTTGCATATGAGGATGAATGGGAAGGCAATATTCATCTATAAAACCTTTTCCACAAGTCAGAGTCAAACAACTGGCAGCATGCAAAGAAAAACTGAAATACCGATGAGTAGGCAGGACAAAGTAATTCTGTTATACAGAAACACTTAAGACTGCACATTACAGCTTGCTTACATGATTACAAAGGGACATGATAACACCTCTCAGTATTTGAAAAATTTAGAACATTGAAAATGGAGTGGAATTCAGGGTAATACAGACGGACACTACATTAGAGAGTAATGAGATGGGAAAAAGATTCAGAATATGCATCATGAAGAACTTTCAGACGAGAAAAATGCTAGATTATAGAACAGTTGTTCCAAGCCAAATACTGGAAGCAACATTACTTGTGACATTTAAGACAGGACTGGACAAAACACTGAATAGAACTCTGCTGGATATAACCTGAGTATGACATTTCCATAGTGATTTCTATTCTATCTTTGTAAAAATAAAGGTGAAGAGATATTTGCTAGCTGATTTCCCCTAGTGTTTGTTATTCCAATGACTAACTTAAAGGAAACACTTCCTAGGTAATCAATTATAACATTGTTTTGTTTACAACAGGAGTTAAGAAAAATTTGATTTATTATTGAATGAACCATTGTCTCAAAATCTAAGCTAAGCAGCTCTACACAGCAAGTTTGGATAAACTCTTCTTTGAGATCAATTTATAACCATAAAGGAGGTTAATGGCAAGACTGGTAGTTATTTAAGGGGGGAAAAAATGGTTCTACCTCTTGAGATGACTCTGTAATCGACTGGATAGCTGAACATGGAGCTGAGACCTGCTTTCTCATAGGCTGGGAAAGCTCTGGCTGAAGTTGCAGAAGACCCGAAGGCTGAAGAGGCAGACACTGATCTATGGGCACTGTTGCACTAGGTGTAGCAAGACTGCCACGAAGCTGTGAAAGATCTTGCCCAAGGCAGGAAGGCAATATTTCAGGCTGTGACTGCAAAGGTGGTGATATAATTTTCGAAGGCTGTACTGGCATTATAGGCACCTGGGCTCCAGTTTCCAAAGCATACTGAGGTTGTCCAATAATCTGTTGTAATACAATAAAGACCTAGTAAGAAAACCTCTCTTTATGGTGTTTGACTCATTCAAGTCAAAGTGCAAAGGCCATGCTTATTAATGAAAACCCATTTATAAAACTGTGCAGTGAGAACATGCTTGAATGGTTTTTATTTGTTGGAAGTGGAAAGGGGGAGCCACAAAGAGTTTAAACAGAAAAGTAAAACAGAGGGCATATCTTACAAAGTTTACTAAGGCAGCGGTGATCAACCTAGCTAGCCATGCAGGCCAGATGTGCAGGGTTTGTCTATGGGCCAGATCTGGCACGCGGTCAGGACACAGGGTTGGTCCACTGGTGCAATCCAGTGTATCAGTACAACCCAGTACACCAGCCCAACCCCAGACACCAGATTCAGTCGCAGCACTACCACAAGCTAGCATGGTCTAGTGTACAGGACCATGTCATGTAAACCATGAGGCTCCCTCTGGGTCCAGAAGTTTGATATCAGGGGAACACTGACAGCATTAATCGCTATGGTTCTGGGAGCAATTAATACTGCTATTGCTCTCCCACCATCACATTTCCAGATCTGTGGGGAGCCCACAGACTGGATGACATGGTTCCACAGACGAGAGGTTGAACACCATTGTACCAAGGTGTAGCAAAGATGACATCAGATTATTACCTGCTTAAGTTTTATATTTTCTTAATCTATAGGAATTAAATTATGCAAAACAAAGTTGGATCTTTCTTAGAAATTCAACACTGGTTGTATGCCATTTCTTGGGAAATCTACTCTATTTCATCAAGCCTAAGTATACAGGTGGAGGAAAAAAAACCTCATAGCAGCATGAACAATGTACTTGGCTATTCATTTCAGGCTTTATTCAAGATGCTTGTTTATATCTTGCACAATGAACATATTTGGTAAGTTTTCCATAGATGGCACTGACTTGGATTTAGTTTCAGGATTAAAATGAAAGTACTGCTATTTAGCTCTATGACCACAATGCCGCAAACACTTTGATTAACTTTGTACATGAGTTGTTATGCTTATCTCAGTGGATTTCTTCCTTGTGTGACTTTTATTTGGATGTTGAAGTAACTTGTGGTATCAGGACCTATATGTGGCTTCTGATTATCTTAGAGACCACATCGTTCCTCATACTGTTGTCCAAACTAACAGTCCTTTAGTTTGTACATTTAAGGACAAGTCATTCTCCACATAAAGGACATCAAGGGAATTTGTTCTCAAAAAGGCTCAGACTTTGATATCCAAGGCATATTTCAAAACCTACTTATTTTTTTCACGCTTTTCCTGAAGAGGTGTGGGAATGTGGGAGAGAAGCAAAGGAAAGTACGGAATGGAGGGTGCTTAAGTACTACTACTGATGTGCTGTATTATTGATTTTTATGGTTGTTTTTAAAATTTATTATTGCATCTAGAGGTTTTATGTACATATAACATACTGACACACACCGTCATCATTACTACATATATTGTATCCACAATAAGGCTTTTTAGTCTGAATTATTACTATAAAAGTTTTAATGTAGGTAGAAATAAAGGCACAGCATGCTTTATATTATGAAATGGGGTTACAGAAGAGCCTAACATGAAAAAACTCTCTGGACAGCAGTTTGCTCAGTGCTGAAGGAGGGAATGTAATACCGGTATTTTTCTTCTTTCAGTATTAATCACTTTAAAAGCACCCAGTAAACTATTCCCAGAAAAAATAATAATTTTCAGATTGTGTATTTTACATAGGAGACACAGAATAAGCAAGCATTACCCATCAGTATCAGGAAAAACAGTTACTGAACTGGAATGCCTTTATTCATGGAAATAAACTCTCTCTAAAAGGGCGTTAAAGACTAAACAATATGTTCTGAATATTCTGTACACTGGGCAACTTCTTTTATTTCATTTGGATTAGCAATTATTCATCCTAATGAAATATTTTAGTATCTGTGGAAGAATCCTGTTAGCAAATTGCAACTGTGTCAACACTTGTTTAGGAATATCAGTATATCATTATCATGATATTTGCCATACAGAGTGGGCCCGATTCAGCTCTTTAAAGCAATGGAAATATTACCATTGCTTAGTTCAGGCGAAAACCTATCAGGCCCCAAATAAGCTATAATTCTTCACAAACAATATTTCTGCACCATACATATGGCTGAAGACAGAAGTGTAGATAAAATTTGGAATACTGGAGCTACTGTTCTACATGGTAGGTGGAAATGGAATGTTATGAATTTTAATCCAGACGCTACAGTAAACAGAGATGTAAAAGAATACAGGCTCGTCCAACCTTTGTTTTAGAAAGCAAGCAATTCTTAACAGATTTAGTACTTTCTTCTGCTTGGGTCACGCAGCATTTCACATTGTCATCACACTGAAGATGACAGTAGTATTATTATGTGCAGACTCATTACCAAGTTCTGAACCTACTTAGAAGGTAAGTAGTGCTAATATTAGAAGTCCTATTTTATGCTTCATTTGTTCTAAGGGACTGGGAGGGGGTTAGACCAGCAGCTACTTTTTATTGGTAAACATCCTTTGAGCAGCTTTCTGAAAAGTATTCGTCAAATAGTTATTTTAATTTAAAAAGAAAAAAAGCCACCACAACAACATTTATCCGTGAACAGTCCCATATCAGCAAAATGGCACAGTACATCCATAATCCCACATACGTATGTAGAAGTAACCTACACCTATAGACACCATGCATGTACTATAGTATGAATATTAAAATAGCAGTTTTATATTCTCTGTTATGTAACTGTACAATGATGTCCATCCTCTACACATGACCATTTTTTTCCTTCTAGCTGAGAGAGGGGGAGAAAGAAAAAGAGTTCAAGTGTTTCTATTCCTTCCTTCTCAGAGTCTAGTAGACTACCATACTTTCATAAAACCTGTGAAATTCATTCCATACCATCTCAAGATGAGCAACAGATTCACCTGATTAACCCTAGTCTGACCACTAGTTATTTCATACTGCATCTCCTGGCCAATACAATAAATCTGAGTAAAACATCTTAAATGCGAGTAACAAAAAGGCCATGGGTATATTTACAATGGAACAATTTACAAGAACTGCTGCTTTCAATAACCATCCTACATTTGAGTACTGATAGTCCAATGTCAAATGGATTACCTGGTTACCAGCCCCAGATGCAGACATAGTCTGTTCTGAAAGATGAATTATGCTTGGCTGAAGTGACTGAGGAAGTGGAGGCAGCTGCTGCGAAACTGCTTGCGTGCTCTGAGTGTGATGGGGAGAGGGAGCTTCATTCTGAATTATCTGCTGGAAGGTAGTCTGGTACATCTGGGAGAGCTGGGATATTGCATGATGTGTTGGCAAAGCTGACACTCCCGGTGGAGCCACAGCAAGTAATGGTATTGGAGCAGCCGACATATTTGGCACTATTGTTTGGCAAGGCAAGACCAAAGAAGCCACAGTAGTATGAGGAAGGTTGACTGCCTGCATGGGTAGGGCAGGGGAGTTTGGTGCCAGAGGCAGAGCAGGGTTCATGGGAAGGCTTGGTAAAATCACAGCTGGAGTAAAATATTGAGAAGGAGCAGGAATAGGGGGCACACTTGCAGCAGGTAAATCAGAGAGGTTTGGAGGAAGGTTGTCAAGTCCTGCCAGAGGAGTAATTGCAGGAATGACAGGAAACTGAGGAATCTGAAAAAAATATAATATCACATAAATTGCAAATGTTTTCATTGATGGTACAAAGTACGTTCATTTGCCATATAAGTACGTAAATCATGTGTGCCATGATACTTATGTAAACAAGGCTCTTTGGGTGACACTGATATCTTTTATTAGACCAACTTAAATTGCAACTAAAATGATAATAAAAGATATGAGTCACCCAAAAAAACCTCGTCTGCCCACGTCCTTAGACCAACACTGCTACAACCTACACCCATGATACTTATGTCAGTTTCTTAGTCACTTCTGTCCAATCTTTGAGGTTTACAAACATCCATAAAAACAATTTACATTGTTGGATAAAAAAAGGAGAATTTTCAAGATCTGGCCACTTTAAAACCTAGAAGTTCACAACTATATCTGAGACCATTTAGCAGCCAGAGCAACCTACAAACACCAGAATCATTACTTTTATTCTGAAACAAACAAAAATCAGACTATAAAGATGTTTTAAAATGTAACCATATTATATGCAAAATTAACCGTTTTAAAGCTCATATTGCAAACGTGCAGTACAGAAAAAGCTGTAAAAACAATTCTTAGATACACAAACTCCCAGTAACATAGCAAACTATAACTACCCTGTTTTGCCAGCCTGTAATTTAACATTTCTCACAAACTAAGCTAACGTAACATGCCTTCAGGCCTCTGGCATGCACCACCAGGGACATTGCATACTATGGTCCCATCCTGCAAAAAGAAGCTTATGAGAGTGATTAGTTTCCCTACCAAAAACAGATTAATTACAATATGCACAAGTGCTTGTACAGTCAGAGTCTAATTTCAGAGGCAGATATCTGCCTTTTGGAAATGAAAGGATTTCATTTGCCATTTTAAAATGTATTAGAAGCAAATATTGAGAATTTTGCTCACTGCTTCCTTTAGCCTGTTTTGGTAAGATGCCAAAATATGCATACATCACAGAAGCAACTTGCTTTTCCTTTTTGTTTAAGCTGCTTCACAACTTAAGACCCATTGTTAGCCAACACACTGAATGGCTTGAATAAGAATGTCACCACTTTAGTAAAGGTTCATCTCTGCTACTGGTAACGGAGAGAGGCAGAGAATTAGGAAAGGAGATGGATGGGTGGTGGAAAAGAAAGTGAAGGTAGGAGCTTAAGAACATAAGAGTGGAGCTTAAGAACATTAGAGTGGGCTAATGTTCATGTTCTTAAGACTGGGATGAGAAAGAGGGTCCACCATGAAGGAAAAAAAATGCAGAACTACAGTTATTGTAATTTTAATAACTAACATTAATCAAGTCAAGCAGGCAAGATTTAGGATTATTTCACAGAATATTTCTGATTCACTAAGAAAAAAATATCATGAAAAAAATATAGGTAACATTTAAAAGCTACATAATGTTGAAGTATAATTTAACTGATGCACATTCTTAGGAAATGGGTGAAAACTGATGCAGGTTACATTAATCAGTGACCAGAAAGCTCTACTTGAAGGAGGCATGCCTCTAAATGATAACTCTCCAGTGATATCTCAAAAGTACTTTACCTGGGTGGGTGGGACTTGAGGAACCTGTGGCACAGTAGAAATCTGTAGGGGTTTTAGTTGTATACTGTTAGCTGCCACCTGAGAATTCTGGGTTTGATACTGGGGTAACAAATGGGCTGCAGGCTGCAATGGACAAACTGGCTGGCTGGCTAGAACCTGCTGCAGGGAGGCTTGCTGTGCCATGGACTGCTGCTACAAGAGAGCAAAAAAACATATTAAACAGTCAGCTAACTGAACCTCTCTTCCCAGCTAGGATGGCATGGTTATAACAGAAATGTCACTTGTATGGCATACTACTAGTAAAAAGGCACTCTCAATTTAAACCCTGTTCCAGAGTCTGGATGTAAGATGCATCTAAATAAAACATGCATACCAAAATATCCAGCTGTCTGAGAAGATTATTTTTAATAAAAATCAAACAGACACTTTAAATCTTGGAGAAAGCTAAAACAAACCAAGTCAGACTCAAAAATCCCCACTGGCCTCAGAGTCCTATACATAGATCAAACTAAACACATTTAACACATTTTAGATTAAAACACTTACTCAGCAAGTATAGTAGCCATTCAAATTTACTGTAAATTCATAATGCAATATAGGTTGCCTGATCAAGGAATAAAACATTCTTACTGCAATAAAGTTACAGGAAATAGTACCAATTGTATAGAGCAGGGGTCAGCAATCTATGGCTTTGTACATGGGACTTTGGTGGTGTGACCCATCCCAAGCAGCAATGGCCGACATCATTGCAGAGCCACTGGCGGAAATATTTGAACGCTCGTGGCGCACGGGCCAAGTCCCGGAGGACTGGAAAAGGGCCAATGTGGTCCCCATTTTCAAGAAGGGGAGGAAGGAGGACCCGGGCAACTATAGGCCAGTCAGTCTCACCTCCATCCTTGGCAAAGTCTTTGAAAAAATTATCAAGGCTCACATATGCGAGAGCCCGGCAGGACAAATTATGCTGAGGGGAAACCAGCACGGGTTCGTGGCAGGCAGATTGTGCCTGACCAATCTAGTCTCTTTTTATGACCAGGTTACAAAACGCCTGGACACAGGAGGAGGGGTGGATGTCGTATACTTAGACTTCAGGAAGGCCTTCGATACGGTATCCCACCCCATATTGGTGAACAAGTTAAGAGGCTGTGACTTGGATGACTACACAGTCCGGTGGATGGCGAATTGGTTGGAGGGTCACACCCAGAGAGTCGTGGTGGATGGGTCGGCTTCGACCTGGAAGGGTGTGGGCAGTGGGGGCCCGCAGGGCTCGGTCCT